GGGTCAGCCCGGCCGCGCACTGCCCCGTCCTCACTGGCGCTGGCCATGGACCGGTCGCTTTGGGGGCGCAGGATTTGGGCGAGAAGGCGAGGAAGGATCCTCTTCCCCCAGCAAACAGACAGCGCCCTGCAGCCGGGCCTGGCTGGGACGGGAGGAGCCGCGCCCTCGGGCTGCCCTGCCCTGGTGCCGTCCGGCCGCACGGTTCCCCGCCCACTGCGCGGTGTCGGGGTGGCCACGGGGAGCGTTGCTATGAATCAGCGACTCGTTTCTCACCAGCTGCTTAGTATTAGTACCTGTCTTCCAGCTTCCCGTCACCTAACCACAAACACCTTTTAGCTAATTCTCAGTGTCAGCAGGGTGGAAACGTGCTTTGGTTCATCCACAAAGCGGTTTGCGTGGCCGCCTCTCCTTTCGGGAGAGGCGTGTGCGCCTGGCGCCTTGGTGTGGAGAGTCCCACGCCCTGGGCGCAGCCCTGGCGTGGCTCCGCAGGGGTGAGGTGGGGGTGCAGACAGAGTCTCCCTGGCCATGTATCGAGTGCCTCGTTCCCTGTCCTCGTTCCCTCCTCCCTCCCCACGCCAGCCTGCATCTCCCCTCCGTCCCTCGTCCCTGTGTCCTCCCGTCACCCATCGCCGCTCCCCCAGCGCCTGGCTCCGCGCCATGATGCCTGGGGACAGGCCCTGCCTTCTCCTCACTGGGTGTGAGTGAGCAAGGCAGCGTGTCTCTACTTTTAAATTTGCCCAGGGAAAATTCCCGAGTAGCTCGGTCCCTGACTTTCAGCTGGTGTCTGCGTGTCCCGAGCAGTTTGCACCTTTGGTCCTAGGTGGCCTGACTGAGCCACAGGTGCCGGGAAGGGCCTGGCCAGCATCACCCAGTCCATCCCGGCCGCGGCTGGGCGCCTGTGTCCCGCCCCTCCCCTTCCAGCCGCCCGGGACCTGCCTGTCGCGCTGCCTGCTGACCCGGCCGGGTGCCTGCAGGAACAGGCGGGGCCCGTGGACACGTTGATGGGCGGCAGGGATATCAGTGGCGGAGGAAGTGAGAGGTTACCTAGCAGATGCTAAGCGAAGACAACTCACGTGGCATGCAAGGGGAAGGCCTGTCTTTATTCTTGAACAAGTCTGGAAGTGTTACTATGGAAAGGTTCAAACACCTACAAGAAACAAGAGACTCCTTCCTAGAGTGGCCCTCGTGCCATTTGCCCCTTCAGAGGCCTGAGCTGTGCCCCTGCCCACGTCACTCCCCTCCCACCTTTATCGCTTGGAGGAATGTAGAGCAAATCCCAGATGCCGTAGCGTTTTCCCTTAAGCACCGGAGCGTGCGTTTCCAACAGGCGCGCTCCCAGTGCCTCGCTCAGCAAGACGCGCCGTGCCTCCACGCAGCATGCCACGCCCAGGCTGTGTTCAATTGTGCCATTAATAGTTGTCTTAAAAAACGGCCTTTTTATGGTCATTCATGCCAGTCAGGACCGAGACTGGGGGACTGGCTACCTGTCTGCAGTTACCTCCCTCCTGGCCATGAAGGAGCCGGGCCCTGTGTGTGTCCCAGGGGGTTTCTCTGTCCGGACTCTGACCAGTCACAGCCTTCCAGCGTCCTGGACCACGGCTCGTCAAACCGCACTTCTGGGAGCTGGACAAGAATATTTCGCGGGTTATCCTTAACATTCTTTTTTTTTTTTTTTTTTGGTGGAACTTGACAAGATAATTTAAAGCTTTATGTGGCAGAGCAAAGGTCTAATTTTGCCCAAGATGATTCTGAAGAAGACAGTAGGGCTTTCTACCTTCACGGGTATTAAGAATTGTTATGAAATCACAACGCTCTGGCGTCTGAGGCAGCGTGATTACCGGCACAGGTGTGAGCGAGAGGGGCTTGCGCTGTAACAGAACTGATAATAGCGCTGGTCTTGAGGAGAAACAAGACTTCCCAGTAACAGCGAGGGACATTGGCCGTTCTCATGGGGAAAAACAAAACCAAACCAAAACCCCCACCCTCGTGCCTGATACAACAGTCAGTACCAGGTAGATGAGAGGCTTACACGTGAAACGGAAACCACAGAACTTTTAGATTGACACTATGTTATTGAAATATCTGTGCAACCTCCAGGTGGAGGAGAATTTCTTAAATCTGAGAAAAAAAAACCATAAGCTTTAAAGGAAAAGATTGATAAATATGGCCTTTGAGGTGGCATCCACATCATGCAGTGGGCGGAGGATTAATGAGAATTAATTAAGAAGTTCTCTGAATTGGTAAGAAAAAGTCAACTCAGCTAAGAAAAAAAGTGGACAAAAGGCTCGAATCCAGAATAGCCAATAAGGTGTGAAAGACGGTCGGGGCCTTCCGTCACCTGGGAGGGCAGCTGTGACTCACCGCGCCCTCTGGGGCGTGGGGGGCTGTTTCCCGGGCGTGGGGTGCAGGGCTCCCCTCCCCTCCCGGCCAGCCACTGGGGGGTTCCGTGTGCTGTCTTCAGAGGGCTCGGACACGTGGTTCCTTGTGTGGCGGTGAGATGCCCTCAACCGTGCAGACCAGACAGAAGGGGTTGAGCCGCTGTATTCAGGGCCGACGTTCTATTGTGCCTTGTTGCCCTGCTGTGTAAGGGCTGTCATAGGAATCGCTCGGGTATCTGCGCCAGGCCAGCACCCAGCTGGCCACCTGTGCCATCGCCTAGACCCTCCTGTTCTTTGCTGGGGGCCCCGGCGGGGCTGGGGGCTTAGTTGTCCCTGGGGGTGGAGTGGCCACGAGGGGGCTTCGCAGTGTGGCTCAGGGTCTCTGGTGCCAGCCCTGGTTTGCGTTTGCATTTCCTGCCTGGCCTGGCAGCCAGGCTCTGTGGAAGGCCCTGTAGACTCCTCTCCTGTCCTCTAGAAATTTTGGAAGCTTACTCCTGAAAAGTGAAGGAGGGTGTGAGCTCTGCGGGTCATTGGTCTTTCCTTCCTGAGTGCTACCCGCCGCCCCCTGCCCCCTTCTTTATGGTTTTTAACCCCTAGTGTTCTCTCATCTGTTCCTCTCCTCTCCCCCTTTCCTAGTCCCAATTAGGGCAGATTCGTAGGGCTCTGGGCTTCGGCTTTTGTGACTTGAATCCCTAGGTGGAAGGTAACGGTCTTGGTGACTCAGTTACCATTTGCCCAGGGTCCAGTTTCAGACTTGGAGCTGGTCTCGTTGGGACAGGACCGGGCTCTGGGTGGCGCCCGCCGCGTGGTCTTGGCAAACTGCGCAGCACTTCAGGGCCGTTTCCCCAAGTGGGGAGGAGGGACCGGGACAGGTGGGTTGCAGGTTAAGTTCCTTTGGCTGCAGAAGGCCAAGATTCTGGCTGGAAGCACCTGTCCGTGCCTCATTCAAAGTGGAAAGCCAGTGCGCGCTGTCTCCAGCCCTGGTCCTCCAGTGGGGGACCCTTCGTCACAGCCAGTCCTACTGCGCCGGGCCCTGTAGTGTCAAATGCGACCCCGACCCTCTCCCAGCGAGCGTGACGCGGTCAGCTGCAGCTGACCTTTGGGCACGCTGCGGCAGTCACACGGTGGCGAGGACACGCAGGTGCCTTGCTGCCCCGGCCTTCCCTCTGGACGTGTGTCTCTTCTCCCCGCTCCCCGCGCTGCTCAGAATGCCATTTGAGGACACGCAGTGCCGTTGTCCCGTCCAGCGGGATTTCCAGAAATAGATGCCCAAGTGAGACGCGCAGCAGGAAACCTGCTCGCAGACCGCGTGTGAGGAAGAAGTGGCGCTCCGCGTTCGCACGCCTCAGGCCGTCTCCAGTGACCTGCTCCCCCAGAAGGCCCCGCAGCGTGTGCGCACTTGGGGTGATGGCCTGGGCCTGGTGGCTGCTGCTGGGGTGTAGCTGTGGCCTGCCTGTCCTCCTCCTGACCCAGGGAGCCCGGGCCAGCTCCCCTCAGCTGTGCCTGGTGTCTTGCTTCTGACGACTGCAACACTTGCAGTTGCGGGGGGGGAGCACGAGCAGCCCACTGAGCTCCCGCCGTCCCCCCCTCCCCGGGCTGGGCTGCACCTCTCCAGAGCACGCTTTCGGATCTCTCAGACCTTGGTCCTTTGATTCTGAACATCTCCCAGGACACACAAGGGTTGGCTGTGCTGGGTGTTCCCCATTTTGGGTAAAAAGCAAGTTTTCCCTGCAGTCGGTTGACCTGGTGCTGGCTGTTTCTGCCGTGCTTTGAAACTGCCCCGAGAATCCGGCGCCCCCTCCCTTAAACTGGGCAGGAGGATGACCCCCGCGGGCCAGTCTGCAGTGATATGCACGTGATCGCGGGGCATTTACACCGCTTGGCAGAAGCTAATTTTAAAAGAAAAGTGTGATTCCTGGAAATGTTGCCAGAGCTTTCTTTCCTCTCTATCTGGGAGAACATAGGAAATCTCAGGCTGTCTAAATCCAGCCTGTGCCAGATTTAGGTGGTGGGTGGGTCCCAGCCTTGTCTCTGCAGTGAGTCTGCAGGGATGGAAACAGTTCCTGGGCACGGTCTAAAAGTGGATTTAAAAGAAAGGATTCCGTGACCCGCAAACCCGGGGCGAAGCGTTTTCCCGGAGCCCATTGTGCGGGGCTGCGCTGCCCGCAGCTGCTCTGGACGCTCCCGGGCTGGTCTCTCCCAGCGGCCAGCCCGTTTGGCAGCCCGTTTGTCTGGGAGGAGGAAGCCTGGCTCTTCCGTTTTCATTATCTTAATGCCGTGGTCTGCAGAAAAGCCAGTTTCCGATAGACACGAGTAGGTGTAACGCACGCGGTGGCCGTACAGAAGAAATAAGCCGAGATTGCTGAGCCGCTCGCCCTGAACGCCAGAAATCGGTGTTTTCCGTATCTCAGTCGGGGACTGTTTTGCTTATTTTCGAAAGGCCTTTTATGTTCTTTGGCAACTGCGAGTAATCCGTGATGGACTCGAACCGTCCCCCTTTAACACTGGGGAGGCAGCGCGTGCGTCTCCATTGTCGGGGAGGGCTTGTCCCTCGCACACGCGTGGGGCAGGGCGTCTGGCTGAAACGAGGTTTCTGAAGCCGGTGCCTTCTCTGTTTTCCAGACGGACTTTCTGGCCGAGACCAGCCCGTGGAGCTGCTGAATCCTGCCCGCGTGAACCACATGCCCAGCTCGGGTGAGTGAGCCCCGCCTGGCCTGCCGGGGCTGGGCCCAGCGAAGGGGTGCTCGGAGGCTCTGCCTCCCCGGGGAGCAGGGACAGAGGGGGTTATCGGGTTCCTGGAATTTGGGGCTCTTTCCCTGGGGCGAAGGAGGCTCTCCGTCCGGGAAACGAAATGGGCATTGGGAAGGAATGCCCAGGCCCTTTCCCGCCGGCTCCCAGGCGTGTCCTTGCTCTTCCCAGAGGTGCAGTGTGCTGTCAGGTGTAGCCCAGGCCCCGATCCGTGCGAGGGTCCCTGGGGAAGGGTTCTGAGCTTGCGCTGAGACTCTGCTGGGGCCAGGCTGCTGGCCAGCCACACGACCATCGTGCCTCGTCCATGGCCTCTGTTTCTCATCGGTAAACTGAGTCAGTGGGACTGTCTGTCTTCTAAGCACCTTTCGGCTCTTTAATGAAAAAGCATCAACTGTGATTATAAGTCCCTCATTCCATAGGTAATGTTCCTGAATATTATAGTTGAAGTAGTGCTTTCGAAGTCTATAGGCCATGAAAACTTTTTTGTTCTTTTTCTGTACAACACCTCTTTCCATGTAGACTCCTCCAGGGTTAAACTCCTAGCCTAGGTGCCATCTTCCCGCCACGTGGCCGCATGAGGATGAAGCTAGACCTCCTGAATCCCTGGGGCTGAGTGGACTGTTGCCCCCATTCCGCTCATGTTCTCAGGTGGCACTGCTGGGCCCTGGGGGCCTGGGGCTCTGGTCTGTGCTCCAGTGCCCCCTCTTTGACAGCCGCCCTCCTGGTGGCCTGCGCTGGCCGTGCCCCCCCACCTTGGGACCCCGTTAGGCCTGACCGTTGCCCTGGACAAGAAGTGAAGCGAGAGCGTGAAGCAGGCCAACATTCCCAAGAAGAGAGTTCTTTCTGCACCTAGTGACTCTCTAGGGTCTGCCAAGGTCCTTTTGGGGCATTTCCCCAAACACGCAGCTCCGGGGTGTCCCAAGGTGCCTCTACAAGGCGCCGCGTCCCTGGGCACGTTGCTCTCGCCTCGGCCGGGTGCTCAGGTGGCTCCTTTCTGCCTTCGCTTCTCACGCCTCTATGTCCCTTCCTACCCATGGAGAGGTGCACTTCCTTCCCCAGGACACTGGAGCCTGGGGAGGGAACTTTAAACGCAACGTGAAGATGCTCCGTTTTCAGGTTTTGGCTCAAGTGAAATGAACAGTTTTGATTTTCACTCTCTCTTGAGTTGAGGGGGCATTGCAGTGCCTTTGTCCCCACGCTGGGCCCCCGTGGTACCTGGGCGTCGTGTAGCCGGGCATCGGGAGACAGCCCCCGTGCTTGCCTGGGGGCGCGGCCAGAGGCTTTTCAGACAGCGTGGCGGGCCGTGGAAAGGCGGCAAACAGCACAGTTTCCAGGTGAACCAGGAAAGGTGGGTGAAGTGCTCCCTGCCTGCTGGGACTGGCTGGGGGACCCTGGCTCAGCGTGGGACGGACCGAGGACTCGAGTGTGGCAGAGCGGACCGGGGCTGGCCCCTCCTGCCGCTGACCGTGAGGCAGGCAGGCTTTGCTGACCGCCGTTCGGGTTTCAGTTCTTAGGCGGCGGTGGCCCGCGCCTCCCGCAGAGGCCCCACGGGGCCAGGGCCGCGTCAGCTTTTCAGTGGCTTGCCACTGACCGTGGCCGAGGAATGCAGGTGCCGTGGCCTTCACAGTGCCAGGCCCAGTCCCGCACGTTTCCTGTGGTCTGCCGCTCCTTCCCTTCCTTTGGGAGCTGGAGGGGTGGCCCAGGGGGAGGAGCGCCCCAGGAAATCGACACTGGTCTTTCGCCTTCCTGGAGCCAGGTTCCCAGCGGTCCGAGTCGGAGGCCGGCGCTGTGTCCCTGGTGTTTATTGCATATCTTCCCGGCGTTGGCGGTCAGAGTGTTTGCCGGGTGATTTTGAGCCAGTGCAGACACAGTGGGCACGGGCAGAAAGACCAAGAGTGCACGGCACGTGCAGCGGGGTGCATGTTTACACCTCATGCAGCCTGTGCAGGGCCCCATGCTCCAGAAGCCTCTAGAATGAAGGGTGTTGTTTGCAAACTCCATCTGGTCCTTTCAGCTCCCTATAAAACACTACAAAGACACAGGCATCTCAGGTTAGCTGGTAATTTGAAAATCGACATGAAAATGTCTTTTAAGCCACATTTTTACAACACGGAAGTAGAAACATTTTTAGGTGTATTTTTATGCCAAAGGCCAGATTGCTGTTGTGTATTTCCTAATGATCGGGTTTAGTCTTAAGTATTCTTTTGACACTGGAAGGTATCAAAACAAACTCTAAACACACCACACACACACACACACACACACACGTTAAATTGTCAGGAAATCCTGCGACATCCGCCGAGGGACCTTGTCCCTCCGAGCACGCAGCTTCTCTGGTCATGGAGGTGCGCCCACTGTCGACCTGGTCTGACGTCTCCACACTCCCTGTTGTCAACGGTGACACGGTGAACACAGTTTTTTCCCCGCTTATGGTTCTTTTTAAATGTACCTAGTCCTAGTCAGTTCTCACTTCAAATAAACACGCGTCGTTCCTGCCGTCGTTACTTGCGAGCCGTCTTGAAATGAGACTTGGACAGCTCGGGCGAGCACACCACGTCCCTCGGGAAAATCTGTGCAGGTTGAGAGTCCCTCATCGGAAACCCTCAGGACCAGAGGGGTTTTGGATTTCGGATCTTTTTTCAATTTTGGAATATTTGCATTTTACTTACTGGTTGAGCATGCTAACTCTGAAAACCCAAAATCCGAAATGCTTCTGTGAACATTTCCTTTGAGCATCATACTCAGAACTTTTTAGATTTTGGATGTTTGAATTTGGGATGCTCAACCTGTACTGGAGGAGGAAAAAGCCAAAATTCTATTTGTCTGGGTCTTTGATTCCTTCAACTTCCCTCTTAACTTTTTATATATAAAGAAGACATGCTTTTTTTTTTCTATATTTCTCTTTGTATTCCGTGTTTTAAGCATTCTAATTGTAAAATAGCTCTGCCATGAATGACAGAACACATGTAACTATTGGCCTACCACTGAGATACACTGATTCGATGTTGGCATCATTTCTTCATTGTCTCGAAGGCGCAGACTCTCACAGTTACAGACAAGGCTACAGCCTTCACCCCTCCCAGGGGTGGTTCTCCTGGGGGAGTGGAGGGGACTCCACGCAAGGGCAGAGCCTGGGCATGGAAGGGCAGCGGGGCGTTGGGAGGGGGACAGTGGGTGGCGGGGTCTCCTGTCCCATGCCTCTGTTTCCCATGGAGTTAAGAAGCAGAGTCGTCATCTCACAGTTGGGGGGGGGTGTTGGAGTCTGAGGACAGAGGAGAAGGTGGGAACTAACCAGTTGGGAGGGTGAGTTCGGGCACAGACCCACAGAACGTCCGGCAGGATGGTGAACCCAACACTGCCGAGAGGCTGGACTACAGGGAACTTAAAAAGCTACCAAGTCATTCATTCCTGAATATTGCAATTTTTAAACTAATAGACTTGTTCCCCCTGGTTATGAAAGCAATGCAGGCCGGGCGTGGTGGCTCACGCCTGTCATCCTGGCACTCTGGGAGGCCGAGGCGGGCGGATTGCTTGAGGTCAAGAGTTCAAAAACCAGCCTGATGCAGGAACGAGACCCCTCTCTACTAGTAAATATGAAAGAAATTAATTTTCCAACTAATATATATGAGAAAAAATTAGCCGGGTACCATGGTGGCGACGATGCCTGTAGTCCTCAGCTACTCGGAGGCTGAGGCAGGAGGATCGCTTGAGCCCAGGAGTTGAGGTTGCTGTGAGTCAAAAGGCCTGACGCACGGCACTCACTCTAGCCTGGCAACACAGCGAGACTCTGTCTCAAAAATAATAAATAAAATAAATAAATAAATAAATATTAAACAATATAAATAAATAAAAATAAATAAATGAAAGCAATGCACATTCATTACGGAAAAAGCGACATTGTTCCTGGCGTGTTGGGTGCTGGTTTCGGGACCTGGAGGGTGAGCCCGCCCAGAGCCGCAGCGCAAGTGCTCGTCGGCCCGGACTGAGTACTACCGGGGGAAGAGGTGCTTGCCCTGCACGTCGCCCCAGAAGCAGGTAGGACAAGGAAACCGCAGCAGGAGTGGGTGGGCAGGCAGGAACCACCGCTGACTGCAGGGATGGCGGAGGAGCTTCCCGTCGCCGTGTCGTTCTCGTCACCAGTGACCAGTGCTCCCTGCTGCTGTGGCACTCTCCTCTCTCAGAGGGAACGGTACCGGGACACTACATGTATTACAGAGCAAGGAACATCCTGCTGTTGGGGGAAGAGCCCCCTCAGGAAGTGCCCGCACCACGTCCCCGCCGAAAGGGAAACTGAGGCTGGCTTTTAAGGGTGGCCGCTGCACTGCAGGAACCGTACCTTCGTGGCTTCCCTCAGACCAACAAGGCCGTGGCACGTCACCCTGTGCACCGTGCCCCCAAACCCACACGCTGTCAGGGGAAAGGAGGGTCTTTATGAGGCTGCATGTCAGAAGTGCCATTTTTAAAAGAAAATTTTGGAATCTGAAGTGGGAGAAACCACAGAAAGTCTAGAGCACTTCTCCAGAACCAATTGAAAAATTGACCCGTTGCTGTTAGCTTGGATTCCGGTTCTTTCTTCGCGGGCTCCGTTGCCGCAGGCCCGTCGCACGATCGCGCACGTTTTCCTGGCTCTGAAAGGTGGGGTCAGGAGCTCTTGCAGTTACTTGGTGCTCAAAGCTTATGCGGCCCCCAGATGTGTTTCTTGGTTGGTTTGGTTTCTTTTCTTTTCTTTTTCTTTTCCTTTCTTTTCTTTCTTTCTTTCTTTTCTTTTCTTTTCTCTTTTCCTTTCTCTTTTCTTTCTTTTCTTTTTTCCTTCTTTTCTCCATTCCTTCCTTTCTTTTCTTTCCTTTTCTTCTTCCTTTCCTTTCCTTTCGTTTTTCTTTTCTTTTCTTTTTTTTTTTGTTTTTTTGAGACAGAGTCTTGCTCTCCTCTTCCCCAAGTAGATGAAG